AAATCAAGACCCTCGAAAATAATTCAATACAGTCATAGGTCAAAGAATTCTTCGATTGCTTACGTGAATCCACAAAATGCTACTTAATGACCAAGCTCTGACAAAACACTACAACACAGTCCCATCCACTTAACCTCGTTCGTTGTGTGCCACCTGAGAGGATGAAAATGAGGGTGGTGAGCATAAAAATGCTTCGTAGGAGATCCATTACTCACCTTTTGATTTTATCCATTTTACTGTATTTAATTCTGCATAAATAGTCATTTCGTTTCACAAATAATAAATCAATTTAAATAGTATATATGATATATTCATAATATCCATAGTAAGTCAACGAGTCAGCATCCATAAGTAATCGAATCCGCACTCTCAAGACTTAGAACTCCCAAAAGGCGTGGTGATTCAAAGGCGTTGTTGATAGCAAGGAGATTTATCTCAGTGTTCCTACCAGATCAGAACTCGAACCACGGATAAGGGTGGACTGTCGTCCCAGGCCCTCAGCATGACATAATTATTGTACAGTAACCTTGGAGACTCACAACCATTGAAGCACGCCTCTCCACTCTTTTCATTTTTAGGGTATCGCATCCAAAGATGCTAAACGCCTAGCCCTTCTATTAGGACTCATTTTCTCACCAACGCGTCCGGGTTACAATTACCTAACCATGCATTTTATGTCGAGTTATTTAAAATCATGCCAAAATCACTTAGCACGCTGTATACTACAGAATGGGCCTCTAATTACTTATTCAGGTGATATCATATAATAATAACAAATTATAATGTTTATCTAACCATACTTTTAATTGTTAGAATCCTTCCAAAATATGTCGAATCATATTTGACCTGTTGTACGCTACATGATGGGTTTGCTCGGGTATATTTCATATGATGTCATATTTTAATAATAAAACAAATCATAATTTTATTTTTCTTATAATCCATCAATTAATTAAATTGATTAAATAAAAAATCTCACAAAAGTTGAGTAATAGGCCCTACTCCAAACGGGTCGCAGAGGGACTCTAGGCCACTAGGAATAGCTAACAGAGGTCAGACGAGCAATCAGAATCACGAATGCGTCTCTGTTCCGCCGGTCGGCTCCGTCTTGATTTGCATGTAACTGATACTGGATGACTTTTCAAGGAAGTGGAATTGACTCAAACGGAGATTGTCATTGTGTTCAACACGTTGAAACAAGTTGTGATATGATCTCAGATCATCAATTGGAGCTTAGGTGATTGGGAAACAATGTTTCGTCGAGATACGGCCATCGACTGTGGTGATAGATATGGTGTACGGCGGCGGCGACAGGGACGGTGTACGACAGCGGTGATAGCGACGGTGTACAGCGGCGGCGACAACGACGGTGTACGGCGGCGGCGACAACGACGGTGTACGGCGACAGCGAAAGCGATGGTGTACGGCGGCGGCGACAACGACGGAGTACGGTGGCGATAGTGACGTGATACGGTGGCGGCAGTTCCCGGAGAAGAATCACATGGCGGAGGTTGGTCCTACCCCCCATAAATCGACCCTCTTGAGTTGAATGGTGAGGTCAATTTCACCAAATTATGCCTCTAACACAGCAGATCAGAACGGTCAACTGCATGAAAATTTGACGACTCAGAACTTGATTTTTCAGCAATAGATCGGGGAAATTGGTTTGGGGGTTCTGTTACCCATCCTCCTTTGAGTGAAAGAGTGGGGGTGGTGCTCTTCACTGCCGCCGAAAATGGTGGTTTTACGAGCAGTGGCACGATGGCCTAGAGGGTAGCTCCGATGAGGCTTTTCCGGTGAGAGTTGATGGCAAGGTCCATTTGGGTTTTGTTCCTCTCGTCGCTCTGAGTCTATAGAGGCTGGAATTACTCCGATAGGAGGTCGGACGACGAAGTTATGATGACGAAAAGTTTGGGTATTTTTAGTTCTTTTCCCGGCGAATTCTGACGAAGTTAGGGGTTGCACAACACGTCAACGGACTCAGCTCATCGAGAGCTTTCCGATGACTTGGGAGGTGTCAAAAAGTGATGTCGGAATCCCGACTGTTGTTGGCGGCCGTGCGTGAAGAAGAAAGAAGATAGGAGAGAGAATGAGAGAGGAAAGAGAGAGAGAAAAACTTGAATTTGATTGGCTGAATTATTTTTTTCTTTCCTGGTCCTATAATAATCCTCTGACTTGGTCAAAGGTGATGAAATTTCAAACTTTGACCCACTTTTGTCAATTTTTACAATTGAGCCCTAAGAGTGTGTTTGGTTGCAGTGGGGGAATAGTAATAATAATGAGAATGATAATGATAATGGTAATGGAATGGAAAAGAAAATTGATTCATTTACTTGATTGTAATTTTAAGAATACTATAGAATGGAGCATGAATATTTTCATATTGACAAAACTACCCTTACACTATATATAACATTAATATTTTATATATCAATATAATTAATATAATATATAAAATGTAATATAATATAATAAAATTATTATATAATTATAATATAGAATATAATAATATTAT